TTCAACGGAGAGTCTCCAGTCTGATTAGCGAGTGAAACCTTGAAAGCTCGCGAGATCAGGATGGTCTCACGAGGCTAAGCAAATGTTGCACAAGTGTTAATTTCATCCATCCGTTTTGCATCACGTTTTATCCCAAGCTGGGGTCATGAGGGGTGCTGGTGTCTATCTCCAGCTGACGAGGGGCGGGGTCCACCCTGGACAGGTCGCCAGTCCATCGCAGGGCAACACAGAGACAAACAACCATTCACATTCACACCTAAGGAGAATTTAGAGAAGCTAATTAACCTAACAGTCATGTTTTTGGACTGTGGGAGGAACTCGGAGTACCCGGAGAGAACCAACGCATGAACAGTTAGAACATGCTAACTCCATGCAGAAAGATCCCAGGCCGGGAATCGAACCCGGAACCTTCTTGCTGCAAGGCAGCAGTGCTAGAGGTCAGAGGTCATGAATTAGCGGATTGCGGACCCAACCTGATTCAAAACATTTATAAATTACTGCATGTTGTCTGATGACAGTCTAAATTCACTTGCGCCTCTTCTCCTGTTAATACGGTAAAGCCCTGGGGAGCGTCCAGCTCCAGGCTGCACGTGATCCAAATGAGCCAATGAGCTGTCAGTCTGGGTTGCTGCTGCTGCTACTTTTAGACACAGCAGGCAAACCTGTGGCAATCCGGGCGATGGGAAAGACTTTTAACACCACTTTATTTACACAATTCAAACATATAATCAATTGACGTAAAACAAGTGTCAGTTAAAAATCATTAAATGAGAAGCTTGTTAAAATGCAGTTCTCCATCATCTGACACAGTACATAAAGTGTTTTTAAAACCCCACAATTGAATAAAATGTTCTGTGGAAGTGAAACTCCAGTCTGATCCTGGCTTTAGCGTTGCACCTCCCCAAAGCCACGGCGTCAAGGTGAGGTCTGTCCTGCAGTCTGTCTCTACGGGACAAATAGCTTCAGAGATTAAAAAGTTTAAAAGTCTGGCCTTTGCCTTGTTGCTTTTGTTTTGGGGGCTTCTTCCATTAAGGGGGGAGTTTTTAAAAACGGTGCCAAAAAGACTAAAAACATTTGTTAAAAGGCTAAAAATGGTCTTTAGTCTGACGCAGTCCGTAAAAACCTGAAAAACATTTTCAGACTGCAGAACGGACGCTCGTTTAAAACACCCCGATTGATGACGGATAAAAACGAGTTAGTGGCGCCGTGTAGAATCCTCCACTGGAGATCATTAGTTCTTTTTTAATCATAGGTTTATATAAAGTCCTCCACTGGGGTGCTCTGCCAGCAATGTTATCCGTCCACATGCAGACTGCACGGTTCTCCAGGTGTCTTTGAGTCATTATTTTTGAGCAGGCTCTATAAACAGTTTTTATCTGTTAGATGAGAAGAGAAGACGATGAGAAAAAGAGAGCAGAGAAAGTGTGGA